CCCCAAAACCCCAAAACCCCAAAACCCCAAAACCCCTAAGATTTTAGGAAAATTTGAATTGGTTTTAATATAAATTATGAAGTTTAGAGAGAGACGGAAGAAGGACATGGGAAAGTATGGGATAGGGAGGTTGGGTGGGTAGATGGATATGTAGTGGGGTGTTTGAGCATGATTTGGGATTGATTTGATTGGATTTGGGGTTCATGATATGCACTTTTTTTACATGTTATTTTTCAAGAGCACATAGAGAAGTGACTAACTTGTTTAGGAGAAATTTCAGAATAAGAGAGATCAGCTTTATACCTCAAATAATCCTTGATCAATGCCGATGCCATGAAAATAAAGTAAGCTTTGATTGCCCAATAGTTTTCGGTTACAAAGTAATTTTCGAATTTTGTTAGAAGAATTCACAAACATGCTAATTTTTCTTATAGGCAACCAATCAATTTGATGAAAGTGACTTTTGATACCTAACTTCTTATAGGTATCACAATATATGATAATGATGAGGAGCAATCTCTTCCTTCCCCTCCCATGGTTATGGCTCCGTTATTCAACTCAAAGTATTATGACATTTAGATCCTGAAGATTCAATGAGTGATGCCATTGTCCTTGCTACGTAAGCTCAGTCCTTTCTCAACATAGTAGGATATACAGCAAGAGGAATTACAGAATCTCAAAGAGAGAGTCTCTCAGGTATATATTCCTAAATTACTTCTTCATATTGTTTATTGCCAGTTGTGTAAAATCTTTCTAGCTTGAGAAATTGCTCGGGAAGGTTACGAGTAACCAAAACAATGGACAAGGTATGAGAAGAGAACAAACCAAGGAAAACCTAGTACATAATATTTTACAGCCCAGTATTGCCCTCAAGCAGGTAATCTCTTGATAAGTGGTCTTTCTGATCTGAAATTAGATGAATAAAATAAAATTTTATGCTTTTTATTCTGTGCTCTTGATGCCAAACATCTATTGTGAACTCGTGGTAATCAATTCTAGAGAGACAATGTAGACCAGGAAATATAAAAATGATCAATACTAAGGCACTTAAGAAGGTAAGATATCCTTATGGTAAAGAAAGATTATATCGTTTCTCTAGAAATATTCTAAAATACTCTCTATGAAGAGTTATCAATGTGATAAGAATGTTGAGCTTAAGAATTCTAACTCAGGAGGTAGGTTACGGTAAGGAACTCTAGAAACAATTGATATGCCTCAGAATATAAGCAAGAGTGTTAGTTCAATAACTGATAGTCATTTCTCACCTTCAAAGCAAGATTTTGATGAAGCTATATCGTAAGCTTTCGATTAACTTTCTAGGCATTATCAGAGCGCATCTCAGAGTGTATCTCAGACAAAAGAGGGCTGTGTCGATCAAAGTAAGTCTTTATTATAATTTTATAGATGCAATATTGACTGACGAGAGTTTAGCAGTTCCAAAGCCAATGGCTAATAATTGCCTGAGGTATTCAATGGAATTTAATCGTTTGAAATCTCATAACTCGAAGTACTATCGTGCCTGATCAATATAGCATACAAACTAATTCTTTCCCAAGAAGATTCTTCCAAGATACAGTCCAGCTGACTTACAGTGAATCGTCAGATTCAGATGCGCTTTAGGACTGCAAATAGAGCATGATTGATGCATTAAATTTTATATGATTATTACCAATCCCATCATGATCTTGAGGGGTTTTGGGGTTTTGGGGTTTTGGGG